AATGATAGATTATCAGAGTTGTACAACAAAGTATAACATTGGAAGTCCTAAGCAACTGCTTCCCAGAAGTGACCTCTGACTGACCCGCAAAGCTGCATTCCCGTTGCCACCAACTTTTTCTAATGCTGAGGAAAATAACATCATATGTCATCTGCCCTCACAGTGCAAAGGTTACTGAAACAGTATATCTAGTCTCCAATTACTTCAGCATTCTGAACAGCTTGCAGTTTGCATGAATGAATAATTGATAAGTACACTTGAAAAAGCAATAATGACATTGATTAAAATATATCTAACCAAGCACCAAAATGGCAACATTATATAAATCTGATGCGCTCTCCATAAAGCTAACACTTTCTAACAAAAATGTTGTTATACATACCCTGTGACCTTTCAGCTCCTGGCGAAGCTTTTTGAGAAGCTTGTCCTCCACAGTGTCTTTTTTTTTCTTGTGGGCTGCTTGTTCTGCAACGAGTGATTTCAAGAAAAAAAAATCAGCAAGTTTTTGCAAAATTTCGAAAGACGTTGCGAACGTCGCTGTTGAAGCCGCAGGATCACAGCGTGGTTCATGTTCCGAAGTTCCGCGATTATAAGCTGCGCCATTGTAAACTCATTTCCTTGACGTCACACTTCGAGCAGAAGAAGCTCTTGTCGAAAAAATAATCAGCGACGGACTCACCCGGTCTGTGTCCGCCGGAGCATCATCTTGTAGAGTGCGAATCGTCATCATCGGGGAACACCATCTGTAGTTCTTCAGCCCATTTCGACCAAGTTTCCAGTCGCTTCCCGGTCGTTGGATGCCACTCAAGCCGTCCCGCTCACCTTCGATGAAGCAACAGCGAGCGTTATTTCATCGCTCCACCCGGACTGCGTTGCGCCGCCACCGTGTTGATATGCGCCTCCCAGTCCCGCGCACTTCATGGCGCTCGCTGCCGACGACGAGTCAGAGAAGGCGGGAATGGACGCCGTCAAGTCTGGCATCGCGGTCACCGATGCGAAGCCCGGTTGCGACGCCAGGGTCCGTACGAGCTCACGGTCCGCGGCCATGGCTGTGCTTTCTCGTCGAGTCAACGGGAACACTGAACGGCCTCTCGTCGGTGGCGGAAACAATGGACGCGCACCACCGCCCGCGAAGAAGACTCACGTTCGTCGGCGTGAACGTGGCTGTCGCAGCCACCACTGTTCCGGGGAGGCTCAGCGGTAATCCCACTTCGGAATGCTAAAGTTTTCGAAGTAACATCATCGAACGTTCATAAAAAAAACTGGTTTATTTAACGACAACAAAACTGACGGCTGATCAATCCGGCACCATCTGGATGATTGTATGGGTATGGATACCACTGCGGCACCTTGCAACGCACTTTGTAACGGGCGGTAGCTTGCGCCACCTAGCTTAAGTCTAAAAAGCGACGTATTTGCAAACGTGGTCGGTCACGCTCGCGACTGATAGAAATACCAAGAACTCAAACGCGTCACGACAGCAACAGACCCCAAATCATTCGAATTTTAACACTGCAATGAAACCACGCGGAGCTCTCAGACGCAGACACGATGAAGCTTGTTTTTTCTGCGTCGACGAAACTCAGGAGCATCGATTTCGCGACCCGGTGCACCACTACACAAACTGCACTGCTTTATAATCCGACTGAGAACTATCGACGACAGAAGATTGCTCGTCGATGTTGGTGGGGCAAATAACACGTAGCACTGATGATTAAACGATGGAATCACAGACGTAGTCGGTCATGCTCGCATATTTGTTGATTGTCACCAAGCAATCACTTTCTTTGTACGCGGTGTTCGGATTCATCCGCCAAGCGCCTGACTTTTGCGGGTTGCGATGTGATATCAGCCTCCCGAAGCTGGTGGATCAAACGGTATTAGCGTATCTCACTCGCTGTTGCAGGCTGCTCACCGCGTCCGTGTAACCAGAACGAACTGGAAACGACAACAACTACGCTGAGACTGCAGCGGCTACCTTTCATATTCCTGAAGATATCAACTAAACGTACCTTTCACAGTTTTTCTTGCGCTCTTGTGAGGGGTAACCACTGCGTCAACGCAACTATTGTTGTCGTTTCCAGGCGGCTCATTTCTTGATCGCCACGCCGGGAAGCTACGCGTCCACAGCGTGTGCGCAACTTATAATGGTCACTACACTCATTCTGGGACGGTGCAATCGCAGACGTAGTCGGTCACGCCTGCCACCGGAACGCTGAGAACTTGATCAGGGGGCTCACGTACAGCACTGAAACGCCACAGCGCTCGAAACAACGCGAGCTGCTGACGCCATTTCATGACACAGACACAGCGACGAAGCACAATGTTGTCCTCATTTCATGGTGAGCGCAGCTAAGCATACTCGGTGCATGCTCTGATTATCCTTTCAGCGCACTTCCATAGTAAACTTTTCGTTCACTAAAAGAAACCTTAGAGAGGCAACTGATAAGTCACTGCACGAATACTTACAAGATCCTTCCAGCTTACTTCCATAACGTTCTTCTAGTGCACTAAAAGATACCCAGGACAGGCTACTAGTAAGACGCTTCGCATGAACTTAGAAGCTACTTAGGTCTTAGCTAGTTTACTAAAAGCATACTATTACAGTACTTACTTCAAGCATACTAAGAAAGGACACTAATAGTACAAGCCTACTTCTGGCTAGCATCCTTTAAGGACAATTTTAGTATACTTCTTGAGAATGAGTATCTTAAAAGACCGTAAAGTATACTTAAAGTAACCTAGTTTTCGCTAAGGGGTGACACGGAGTATAATTGAAGGACGGTACACTCACAGATGTCAAAGCACTTGAAGAGTTCGCAACTTCGGTGCAATGCCACTGGTTGCACTTTTGTATCGCACTTCAGATGGGTTGATTTGCCCGAAGTACCTGGAAAATAATAAGAATGATAGAATAAATTAATGTGCCATAAACCAGGGCTGGGCAGACACACTCCAAAAAGTATTCGGGAATACTGAGATATATCTGCTTTAAAGCTAAAAATACAGATACTGAGATACATTGTCTTTTATGCAATGCTATATCCCCGAGACGCTTCCGCGAAACTGGTGAAAAAGTATTCAGGAATACAGATACAATGTGTAGTTGTATCTGTATTGTGGAGGGTGTAGTTCGTGGGGAATATGTACGGTCAGTGGCGTTCCAACTTGTTTTCCAGTCAGGAAAGGGGGGGAGTGCTCTTAGTATCCCTTGGGCGCCGCCGGCCAGTCTTTAACCTGCCCTGTGGCGGCTGTTTTAGGGGGGTGGCAGGGCGGGGGACAACACAGGACAGGAGGAGGCGAAAGCGGGGGTATGCACACCGAGGCGCTTGCACCGTCGGCGAAGCCGCCGTACCGGTGGCTTTTTTGCACGGCATTTGGAGTCTGCTCCTCACGTGATCGGATATCGGCAAATAGCGGCGCGGCGGCACGTGGAAACCAGACGCGCAACTCTGGCTGGAGCCTATAATCTCAATGCTGCACTAGAGTACCAGTTCCTGTATAGGCTCCCTGCGGGAGCCAGAGTTGCGCGTCTATTTTCTACGTGCCGCCGCGCCGCTATTTGACGAGATCCGACCACGTACCGTGCAAGAAAGTAACGTTGCACGCGCCCCGCCGTACGCACCGCTGCTTTTGAGCGCGCCGCGCGCCTCGTCGGTTCGAGAGTCAATGGTTCCAGTACCCTCTCCCCCTTCGAAGTGGCCGAGCAGGGAGGGAATATGGTTTTGTTGTGTTGACCTCGGGGGCGGAAGATTACGCACGATGGGGACAAAGGCGAGTTTGGGGAAGCGGTATGTAGGTCACAGCGCCTCAATGGTTGAACAGGATGTAGCTGACGTTTTGGGTGTAGAACGGGTGGGAGAGGCCTTGCGCGCGCGTTGTTTTCTCGACACTTAGCCTCGTGTCGAGGTGGCAGCACATATTCGCCAAGAGGTCCAAAAGTCGCGCTAAGAAGATGAACGCGCAACTCTGACTCCCGTAGGGAACCTATAAAAGAACTCTAACTGCCTTGTCTTGAAGCGCCACCTTAGTTCACTCATCCCCACTGAAAATCGCATTGCATAACCACACGTGCGAGCGAAGCCGGTAACAAGCGCGAGCATGTTGCTCTGCAATCGAACGTTTCACCGACAGATCGTTTTATAGATACGCGTTGATTCATCGCCAGAATGCTTCATCGACAACACAAACCACCTTTTTTCTGTAAGGAGCTGCCTCACACTGTTGCCACGAAGCGGATAGTACGTGTAGGATACACCCGCGACGAAATGTCCCTACAACGCTAAATCCGCGTAACGACTGTCGATGGAACGGTAGTGTCGACGAACGAGAGTCCATGAAACATCTGTCCACAAAAAGTGTTTTTTGGCAAAAGGATAGAGACCCGTTGCTCTGAATGACGCCAGCTCTACACGCAAGAATAATGTCTCGAAGCTGCGATGTCGTGCTCGTTTGTACACTCAGAGAGCCGGGCACCGCCACCGCGCACACATGCCACAAATACAAAAGCGAAGAAACTCTGACATAAACAGGAGAAAAAGGAAAGCACGTCCCCAACTAGCAGGCCCCATGCCTCGCAAAACGCAGCATCCAACGAGTGCATGTAAACGGTAGACTTACCTTTATCGGGCGGGCACATCTTGGTTTGTGACTGCAGTGCAGCTACGTGCCAAGCATCACTTCGTGAACACGATCCGCTTTGTCCAACCACCTTCTAAAAAAACACGCAATACAAAATAGCGCGAATGAACAAAGGCGATGTCACCCGCCAGCCGAAGCAAAAGTATGGCCGCCGAAGCACGCCGAGATGGAATGCAGGAGGTGAGGAGGTCAAGTCTCCTAGCAACACGAAGGCCAGATAACGCGCGAAACGCGATCGCTATCGTGATAGGTTGTCAGTCGGATGACGTGTAACCAGTGACTGCTAATCAGGACGCGCGCTCTACTCTATACGGAGGGAAAGCCGTCTGCTCTTTCGCGCAGGTCGGTGCCGTGACGTCACATCGCCGCGCTCTGATTGGAGGATGGCTACGAGCGGGAGCTCGGAGAATCTCGGGGGTAAACAAAGCGGTCCTTCTGCTCTCTACAAGTCGTAGGAATGGCTGCCCCTTTGCCATTTCTGCGGCTTTCTGAAATCCACCGCTATTTCAAGGATGAGGACGTGGCCTTCGAAAAAGGAGAGCGAAAATACCTCGAAGGGTACGTTCTTTCGTTTGACGCGGAAGAATTTACCCTGAGAGCACATGTACAAGCCTCATTCAAAGACTGCTCCTACCTGGTAAGGCTCAGTCTTTCTCACGGAGGCGACATCTTAGCTTGCCAGTGCGAGTGTCCCCGTGGGGCAGCCAAGTGCAGCCACATGGTGGCCACTGCCTTGTACGCCGCGCTAAACGGCTTTTCAAAAACGGACCTCCCCCAGCAGTGGCTACGGCGCCCGAAGAGTAGCGCGCCACGACAGGTCGCCCTCTCGGGTAAGTCAGCTGTGCCGCTTGTTATTTTGTTCTCTTCGCGTTTCATCGCTAGGGGCTCTTAGAGAGCACTTTGGTTACTGATCAATCGCACCCCGTTGCATACAGCGTCCCACATAAAACGATAAAGGGGATGGCAGCTGATATGATTCGGGAAAGAAGCGATCGGTGAAGGGCGATCGAGCGAGTGTTCAGTTTTCGCCGGCGCTGGTGTCGTCGCTCGCTAAATCACTTACATGCGGCGATAAGAGTCAGCGACGAGCGACGGAGATTTCTCAGTTTCTCGTCGCGTCGCTCGGTTCTGGATTTCTAGAAAATATCGCTCATCGCGTTGGTCGCTTGCTTCCGTCGCATTCATGCGGTTTGCTTCGTTGCGCGACTGACCGAGCTACAGCGGATTCTTGTTGCCGCCGCTTGTCTCGTCGCTCGCCAAATCGCTTACATGTAGTTTATACACGAGGCACCAACATGACAGTAAAGTGCTATGTTGGTATGATTTTTACCTGTCGCTGAAAAATAGGACAAAGTGCTTATATCATAATGTTCACATTTACTGTGTTATGCAGTGTATGTCTGCAAATACTTCAGTTCGCTGTGCTCCCTTATCCCAACAGAAGCACACTTCCCTGGCAGTGCCACAGACTACCGGGCTACAGGAAGGGCCGTCAGCGAAGAAGACGTGGAGGTTCTCTGCAGCGCCCTGGCCACATGTCCAACCAAATGGGTCGTGCAGAGGAGTTCTGCTTTGCAGCCCCCATCCCCAGCAGAGAAGTTTTCTGTGGCCTCTGTGCTCGCGTCAGGTGAAAATATCACCAGCAAGTGTTCTAAAATCCGTCTTTGGCACATCAGAACATAAGGGGGGTATGTCAATGAAAGGACAACATAGATAACGCGTAGGCAACATGCAATGACAAGGCAACCAAGCGCACGCCGTCATTGGTTGTGGTCGGGGGAACAAAAGGCATGTGGACGGATTGAGAAACATTTGCGATTACGGAAATCGAAAATGTTCCGCGGCTACCCAATAGATGGTGTCAGTGTGTTCCCTTGTCGTAAGAGATCATAAGACTGCACTAGATGCAAGTGTGTGAACCAGCCTGGAGGCACAAGTTGTTCTGGCTATCGTTTATCCATTTTTGCTTTGAAGCAACAAGTTCTCCTTTCCAGGAGCCGACTTCTCGGTGACCACGGACAACCAGGGGACCATCCACGAGATGACGGTCGGGCAAAGGACCAATCCAAGCTGGAGCCTGCTTCGGAAGTACCGCCTGACAGCTAGCAACTTCGGTCGGGTCCTGGACAGCTGCAGGCGTAGTTCATACCCGCCCTCTCTCTTTAAGACGCTGTTCGGTAAGATTGCATCAGTTTGCAAGTATTTACATTTCGGAGTTTGGTCAGTAGAATAACTGCTGCATCTCCTCATAATTTGGGCAAGGTTGGTTACATAAGCCCCCTCCACCCCACCCTTTACACAGTCTTTCAGAGCCCTGCACGTGCCAGCTGTTCTATCCCACTCCAAACTTTGTCTCTTACCTTTTGTTCCAAAATGCAATTCTCCGCTGCCAAGTGTCCACCATTCATGAAGGCTTTTTTTCTGTAATCAAATTTTAAGCTTCCCATGACTTTGGAACATATATTATAGTGGTTTTTACACTGGGGTTCATGGTACGCCAGCAGCCCTCGAGAGTGGTCAGGGGATTCTGCACCGATACAAGATATGCCCTGATGAAACAGAATATTAGCAAGGCGAGGGAGCCGTTTCGCAAGTCCCCGTTATGGTTGCGTTCATGTAAATGCAGACGTAGCCATTGTCAAATTTCGCGACTCCAGCGAAATTTGGGGGGCGCACTGGTCAGACAAAATGGCGGACGAAAGGAGGTTGTTTTCGTCATTCAGCACGCAGACCAGCATACATTTCTTGCACTGCTGCGAAAAAAGCAGTGTTACATATAAAAGCAAAGCGATTTTTCAACGGTAGAAACCTTCTTCTAGTCAGTGCATAAGAATGACACGGCGGAAGCATAAAAATAGTTACTGGAAACAATGTTTGTTTCTATGCTGCCCATGAGAACCAAGCAGCGATAGCAGACGACGGAGTCGAAATTACCTCCTTTCCTGGGCCTCTCGGCGTTGCCGCTACGCGCCGTCAATTTTGCTGAAGTCGCCAATACTCAGGGGTGGGTACCCATACAAACTCTGAGTGGGTCAGCGGGTCTATGACTGCCAAAAGTTTAGCTACTGATGGGGCATCAATATACCTAGCTCTAATTTAATTAGTAAAATTTCGAATTCGCTGGTGCTGATCCTCATGGAATCAGACACCAGGGAATCTAAACTCGTCAAATACAAAGTTGGGGCCGAAGTTCACAGAGCGTGCCGATTGGACTATCACGACGATGACTTCGCGCTTTTTTCGCCAGCGTCCGATTGGCGCGCACCACAAACTTTTGGTTCCAACTTTGTATTTGTCGAGTTTAGAGCCCCAGCCACAAGTTGACCAGAAAGGTTTAATCTAAATTCATTATGTGTGAAAGCGAGCACAGTGCCCAGGCATAAAAGTGACCCGTTAAACTACCGAGACGGCTCTCTTTACAGGAGAGTACAACCTCTCAACCAACTGCGCAGTAATCTGGGGCCAAGTTCATGAAGAGGAAGCTCTCCTGAAGTACGAACAGCAAAAGGGTTTGACGACCACTAAGTCAGGTTTGTGGCTCCACGAGAGCGGAGTTTTGGGTGGGAGCCCCGATGGGTTGATTGGTACAGATGGCCTTGTGGAAGTGAAGTGCCCCTGGACCTGGAGGGACCACATGATTAAGGAGGCCTTTGGGGCCAAAGACTTCTGCCTTGACACCACAGGCTCCCTAATCACGTCGCACCCCTACTACCACCAGATTCAGGGGTGCCTCACTATTACAAGGCGGAGATTTTGTGATCTTGCACTGTGGACAAATAAGGATCTACATGTCCTGCGTGTCGAAGCAGACGCCATGTGGGGCCAGGAGAAGCTGCCACAGCTCTTGAATTTTTATTACAATAGAATGCTACCCCTTGTTAAGGGCAGGCTTGGCCTCTGAGGTGGTGCTCCAGTAGTTGGTAAAATCAGCCTGAACTTAGGGAAGAAACGTAGAGAGAAAACAGGAGAGCTGAAGACAAGGAAAGACAACGGAAGAGATGAGACGAGACAGCCTTACTGTCTCCATCCTTCCCGTTTTCTCTCTACATTTCTTCCCCAAGTTCAGGCTGTATTTTCCAGGTATGGACCAAAGCTCAACTCATCACCATTATTTGCACCAGTAGTGTACGCATTGTCGGAAGGGCCACTCCAGATTTCAAAGGTTTTTGTTTCGTTTAAGGAATGATGCACAACATACTGTATATACTTCCACGGGCAGTGAAATCGTGATAGTGGTTAGGCCTAAGAACAGCCGCATCACTTCCCGTGCCTAGTGAGCTTCATAAGGCGCTTGAAAGCCACTGACAACCCACGCCTCATGGCGGGAAGGAACTGGGACATCACTGCCTGCTGCGATTGATCAGTGCCACGCCATTAACCAATCGCATGAGGCGGCAATGGCCCGGTCCCCTCGTCCTGCCGTGTAGCTTAATGCCCTAGTGAACTCCATACACTGCTTACTCCGAAGGATCATGCTTGTGGGTTTCATTTTTTGCTTTGGATGAGCTTGATTCTGTCATGGTCATGTAAACACAACTGCATTATGCATGCACACTAAGAACCCCAGGTTAGCAATTGTGATGCTTCTAAATGTTGAGTGGCCAATTTGGATTTCACTTACCATGTCAAAATGAAGCACATTTTTTGGGATGGAGTGGCCCTTCAAATCTTAATTTTTTCCTTCAAACTTGATTCCTGCCAAAGACTACAGCCTTTTTTTTTTTTTTTCTGTGTAAAATGTTTGAGTAGCAAGTAGAGACATAAGGTGACTTTGCTAACCATACTTTGTACCAGTCATACTAGTCATACTTTGCACTAGTCATAGGTTAAATATTTAAAAACCTTGGATTACAAGTTTCCCTGAACATTTAGTTTGTTTTTTTGGAGCGAAAGGAACCACGTGAGCTGGGCACTGGCTAATTACGAGATTAGCAGCTGCAAACATCCGGCTATCCGGCCTTGGCGTGTTCGATAGCACACACCTATTTTAAATGATTTGCCACCAATCAGCACCCGGCTCGCATGGTTTCTCTTGTCGCTAGCATGATGCGCGTGCATAGCTCCAGACCGCACAGTCCTGTGGCTTCGTTGGCTGTTTCCACCATACTTCCTCTAGTCATTTCAAACAAATGTGAATGTTCAGTAATAATGCGTTTATTTTCGTAAACTTACAAAATTTCCTGTGAGCATCTTTGTAATTACTTTTCATGCACTCTTGAAGAAAAATAAAACCATTCCATAAAAAGTGCTTTTCTGTTTACATTAGTAAAGCCTAGTGCAGTGCATGCATCATCAAACAGTGAAGGGTGACAACTTAGCAATTTACCACTTGAACATGCTTGGCCCAAATGTTAGTTATTATAGCTGATACTAGTTGGTGCACCATCCTAATCACATTACAGCCTACAGGAGGCATTGGTTGTTGAACTGTATAGCACAGGGGTGGCCAAACCGCGGCTCGCGAGCCGCATGCGGCTCTTTGCTGGTCCAAGTGTGGCTCGCGGATCCCTCGTAAGAGGACGTTTCCGCGTTTCACCAGAATAAAGCACACTGCAGCTTGCAGTTTGGCAGCCTTGTACTCCAATACGTACAATCGTACAGCCTTGTGCCCCCATACGTACAGTCGGACTCCAAACAAAAGTTAAATTTGCACCCCCCCCCCTTCCCGCGGCTCTTAGAAGTTCCGTGGTTTTGTTTGCGGCTCTTAGGCCAGGCCAGCCTGGCCACCCCTGGTATAGCATGAACACTCAATAACCACTTGATCCTAATTTGCACGGCTTAGAGTAATGAATTCCTGTACCGCTTTCAGCAGATAGATTACCCTGTTACATGTCAACGGAATGTTATGAATATGCACCAACATTGCCTTTAAAGTTCATCCCGCTATCAATACAGCAACTGACACTTCAGGGGACTCTAAACAATTGGAATCTTACAGTAAGCTGAAGCAAATTTTCAAAGCTATTGATTATCGCTGAGAACACATTCTGTCGTCGTCCCACTCCACCAATAAAATGCACTAGCTACCTTAAACATTACATAAAATAATTAACCAGAGGCACAAAATATACAAACATGCAAAACTTGCACAATTTAAACCTTAGAAAGAAAGAAAAGACACAAACACAAAGCTCCAGGGGTGGTGGGCGCAGCAGACAATACTTTGCAGCGACAAAAAAACAAATGGAGGTGAATTAACACAGCAGATACGGTGGCATCCATGCAAAGCTGCTGTAAAGCATCTGAATATATAAAAAGCATTGCAAAAAAAAAAAAAAAACTGGCAATCAAGCCATGCTGCCACTACTGAGCAATAATAAAGCTCTGCAGGTTAGCCAGGCAGCTACATACCCGGACGAGCTTCGTTGCGAGGGGCCTTTTGTGAGCTGGCAGCTTTCGCAGCACTCTGTAAATTTTGACACGTTGGATGGCCCGCTCGACGTGCACCCTACAGGCAGCGATCTTCTTACAGTAAGAAACTTCGTCTTGTGTGAACTGCCGGTTCCCTCGCAAAAACGGTGGAATATTTAAGGAGGTCCCGCCTGGCATTATGTCGAAGATGGTAAAGCCTTTGTCTGCCAGGATCAGGTCTCCTGTGGTCAACCGGTCAAGAATGCCGCAGTCTTTCACCACCTCCCTGTCACTAGTGGAGTCAAGGTAGCAGCCACTCGTGTAGATTATTGCCCCGTTCGGGGCGACTGCTACAAGGAACTTGACCGTGTTCCTTGACTTGTAGTTCGAAAAGGTTACACTTTGAGAGACAACGCTGCCCCTTGGGATTTCGATTTCGATTTCGGAGCAATCGATGCTTGCCCGACAGTTGGGAAAGTCCTTGAAGGACTTGGGCATCTCTGATACTGAGTATGAGCCTGTGGGAAAATTTTTGTCCATAATGCCCTCAAACAAGACCTCGTACAGGACATGCAGAAATGTCATAAAGACATTCTGCACAGTCGTGCGGCTGACACCAAACCGGACGGCAAGGTCGTCGTCTGGAACCCCGAGCTTCAGCTTCGTCAAACATAGCAGCAGCTGGTTGGCACGTGTCAGCCTAAACACGTTTGTGCCGCTGTAGTAGTTTATCTCAAAACGGTCAATTAGGCTAACAAGCGCTGTGAAACTCGATGGTGGAATTCCAGTGTACATCTGTAGCATCCTACCATTAAGATTTTCTACAGAAAACACTCTGACTTCCAGTGTTCTCACCCTTGCTGTGAGCTCCAGAATTTGAGATGCCATGTCACCTGAAACATAATGCAGGGTCATGAAACACTGTTTTATTACATTTGTGAGGCACACGCAATTTGGCTGTGGGTGTGAGTTTAGAACTGAAAGCTCCACTCACTTGCAAGGTACAAGTTTTCACCTGAATAATCATAGTAAAAAGGCTTGG